CATGATTATTATTGTGGTCATTATTGTGATTGTTATTACGATAATTGTTACGATAGTCATTACTACGACTGGTTTTATGATCGTTAGTGGAATAAGGAGTTTATTTGTTGTTATTCCTGGGATTAGTCGATACAGAAGGTTCTCCTGTAGAAAGTTTTTTTTACAAATTAATAAAGTCATAAGAATGACGGTGTCAAAATTTAAAAGAACAAGGGTATCTAGGAACCGAGTAATTAGTATTATTATCAAGCCAATTTTCACATGTAAGCTTATGGCCTGTTGTCTTTTTGATCACTTCTGTTGCATTTATTTCATATATTAACAACGAACATTTGACGAAAATTTTACCAATGATAAAAAATATCTCGTATATAAATAATACAATCGTATTCAATTTTATTAACATCTCGAGGGTACTGGTGAGAGAAGGAATTATATAATAAGCATTGTAAAAACTACTAATGGTTATGTTTTCATAGGAGAGCCAGAGAGACACACGACTTACCAAACTACTTCCTTAAATGTTTGTTTGTCTCCTAAAAAGACCAAGTTCATCATATTCTCACATGATCCTAAAGCCATTAGCAACACTTAAGAGGTAAATGTACCAAACGTTGGCCATCTTAGTAGACCAATTTCTAAAGTACTCCATAATTATAAAAAAAGTAAAATTTCAAGTCCTAATAGGTATTATTTTATAGTTACAACACTATTTTAAGCTGTACCAAAAAGAAATAATTTTTTGCATACACAGAAAAAAAGCTTTTATTTATTATTGGACATGATGGAATGTCCCAATTCTTGGCCACTGTAGAAAAAACTTGTCCCTGTGGCCGAAACTTCAAGTCCCAATAACTGGCCAGTCGTATGAATTGTACGCAATTAACATTGGCCAGTTATTAGGACACACTAAAAGTGAGGTTACGTTGACAGATGTCCCAAAGCCTGGCCAGCCGACCAAAATCACTTTCTAGAAACACTTTTTTCTAATTTCTTGGTTAAAGTATCATCGAGATAACTATTAACAATGAAATTTATATAATTTTTAAGCGTGAATATTAATAAAAATATTTTTTACAGCTGCGAAAATTCGTGCGACTCGAAAAATTGTGATTGTGGCCAGTCTTTGGGACCAATTTGTTGGTGGCCAAGCATTGGTACATTTACCTTATCTGCAGTAGATACTGTCAAATACCTAGGACTCACACTCTATAATAAACTGTTATCTGAAATTAACACCTACAAAATATTTCTGGAAACGCTTCCGAACTAATAAACATCATGAAAGCACCATATATATATATACCATTCTATAAGATCTACTTTATGATACTCTGTTTACCTGGCCTACCCCTCTAATCAAGCTCTTCTCAATAAAATTCAAAATATTAAAAATCAATATGTAGTTTACACTGAAATGGCCGAAACGTTGTAACAGAATTATAATTTTTTATATCGCCCACAAGAAGCTTGTTGTTATTAATGATCTATCATCAGAATCATATAACCTACATTAACAGATAATGTAGGTTGTAATTAACTTGATAATAAATACAAAAGATTTATCTTATTTTGCATAAACACAATTAAAATATCTACTGTTATGGTCATATTTGATATGAAGTTATAGCAATGTGCGCGTTTTGGCTCATCTGCTAACAACTGCTCTTTGAATTAGTCGGGGACGCAATCGCAATATCTATCGAGGCATAAATTTAGAACTAGCTTGTATTTTTAGAGTTCAAAACTTAGTTATTTTAATTTCAAAATGAATGTTGTTAACATTATTTTTACAATACTATGCCAACTAAAGCTGACTGAAAGATACTAGCTAGTTCTATGCCTACAACACGCACAAATGGTGTGAATACTTTTTTAACTTTGACTTTAGTGGGAAAAGCGACATGAGTCCTGGCTTCGTTTCGCGGTATCTTCGCAATTGATGTGGCAAACTAAGGATGTCCAAATTGATCAATAATATTTAATTTTTAATATTTAAGCTAACAATGAACCATCAAAATTCATAAAATTTTTCATTTATTTATTCCGCATTGCATTAAAAAAATTCAAGTCCTCTTAGATAAAATGGACTGTAAGCACTTTTCAATTCCTGGCCATATCTGGTCGGTGGATGGACCAACGCATTCATGTACGATGCCTTGCTTATTATAGTACTGAATTACTGGCTTCGTCATAGTGACATATTCTTGAAGCCTATGCTGAACTATTGTCGGCTGGTCGTCGGTACGCTGACAAAGTGGCTCACCTGTAACATCATCTTTTCCCTAAAAAAAAAAATTTTAATAATTACAAAACCGATTTTTTTAATCAAAAAGCTTTAGGTAACTTACCTCAATTTTTGGATCGTTGAATCCGATGTTGTAAACTCGACCGCTTGGTAAGTGTGTCCAGCGATTTTTCAAGCGCTCCAAAATCACTGAGTCTGGCACCACGAGATTGATAACCAGAGTAACCGGAAGAATGGGCTCTAAGATTTGCGCTTGTGTCACTGTTCTTGGAAATCCTATTGAGTTAAAGTTATTATCCTTATTTGTGTTTAATCTTTTTTATTTTTGCTAGTTATTTTAAGTGTTACTAGTAGAAAAAAAAATACAGTTAAAACTATTCAAGGTAATTTTTGCCCTCACGGCACGTGTTGGGATATCATTTTTACACCAAGAAAAAAGTGACGAAACTGTGACAGTATACCAAGAGATAACTTATCATTTATGGTCCTCTTACTAAGTCTACTTTAAATCGCTACTTTACATGAGCAGTTATCTAAAATAGCGCAGCCTACCAGTGCTGGATAATAGAATCCATAAATTTCTTAGCGAGACATTTTTTTTTACTTCAAAGATGTAAAAAAAAAAAAAAGATTAACGAAGTTTGCGGATCATACTTAAATTCGGTGGGTCTCTGAGATTTGGTAACGAGACGTAGTAAAATTGCGGAACAAGCTATGTACTCGTGTTATTTAGCACCACCACGTTTCCCATGCAAGTGGTGCTGTTTCATATAGCTGCACACAGAGAATAGTTTATATCCTGAGCTAGTTGTAATGGTACACTCTTATTGTGTATTTATTTGTATTTACTCTGTATATATTATTACTTAAATAAAAAAAATAAAAAATTTGAAACATTAACTCCTAACGTATGAATGTCTTCAGAAGTAAGCAATATATATGTTTAAGTTATGCGAACACGAATGTGAAAAAACCAATAACCACAAGGACAGCTCTACAATGCTGATTAATTGAAATAAAACATGAAGACTTTGCGATTAAAATTTTATCTGCATTAACTAAAATGTTTTTCAATTTAGATAAAAGTCTATATAAAAGTAAACGTTCTAAAAAATATGCCCAAATGTTTGTATCATGTTTCGCAACCAAATTTTAGAGCATAAGCAAATTTAAGATGTTTTCTAGTAAATGTAAAAATAGAAAAATTATGTATTTGTAAACGTAACTATTTTTGTATTAGATACAACGAAGTTGTTCAAAATGAAATTCTACACAGGATCTTAACTACGAATTCCTGAATGCTTTACAAATTTTCAAATAATTGAAGCTATAATAGATTTTGGTTTCTACTAAAAATTCGTTGAATTCAAGTATTGAAACTTTTTAGTTTCCAATACATATATTAGGAAATCCACGTATAATATCCCGTTTTTTCTTCTATTATAATAAAAAAAAATTTTTTTTTTTAATATCACTGAAACCCGTGTTCAAAATTTTTTCCTCATAGTACATGGCTTTACGAGTAAAATAAGCCTAGTTTCAAGGGTGTGACTCAAAAAAATTTTTTTCATTCAAATGAGGGACAAGAACGTTGTACTTATTGTGGATTTTCTCATATAAACATACACTGACTCCTTATACCTAATTGCTAAGACAGTCTTGTTGAAAAAAAATTGATAAAACACACTGAAGTTTCAAGGACAAGTGATTAAAAACACTTACTATCACACATTAAAATCCAGCTCAGCATGATCCATTGATGTTAATTTTTCGCAAAAATTGCCTTGATAGTACATGATAAAACAAAAATCAGGTGATTTTAGTCAGTATTATTAAAAAAAACTCACATTTAAAACTATACTTACTATACCGTGGATTGCTGTTAATCATGATTATTAGATTGTTAAAGGAATCAAGATGACAATTAAAAAAAAAATCATTTATTTCAGCAAACTCATTCATTTATTCCCTTATTAAAAATTGAATTCAAATTTTCGGTGTAGCAAAAACGTACTCCTAAAGAATTTTTAGGCCTATAATCGTACAAAATTTGTGCTCTAAGAAATAACAATCGTCCTACATATAAGCATGTATTAGTTAGGTATAAGCGTTACAAAGAAAAACCTAACGGCCTATTTATATACGCCTACTTGATACTTTTCACGAACGTCTGTACATGTGAACACAAAATTTTTGTATTTATCTATATAAATATACTACAAGAGCGTCGCCTGGTAAATAACCCAAGGGGGGGGGGGCAATATAAAAGAAAAAATAGTACATTAATAATGGGTTTTCACGCATACAATAATTTCGAAAAACATTTTTAATACAAGAAAAGTTTTTAAAAAGTCATAAATATTTAAAGAAAGTTAATTAAAGCATAATCTTTTGGGGATTTTTCTTACTTCGTGGACAACTTTATCAATGAAAGTCTGACTGTTGTCAAAATTGGAATTATTTTTTAATTAGTCTATCTACATATTTTCAGTGCAAAAGTATACTGAAAGAACCACCAATCAAAAAAAGCATCCTACATATTGTTTAGTAATTAAAACTGTATCAGAAATAATGACTACTAAATGCTTAGTAAAATAAATTCTGACTCTGTTTTGCTTGATATGTAAAACTCGATCATTATTTCGCTCTGAATACATTAAACTTTTTAAGAAATCTTGTGTGTGTGAATATATATGTATGTGTGTGTGTGTGTGTATATATATATTCGACATCAGTACTTTAATATGATTTGATACTTGCTTAAATAATTAAATAAAGGGCAGTTGACTCGAACCCCCCTCCTTAGTGACACCCCTTGTCCATACACGGCAACTATCGCGTATGTTACTTATCCGTTATACTCTAACATAATGCATGATTGACTCGATTCGTTTGTCTCGGAAATTCTTATACAATATATTATGTATTGTCTATAACGTAGTGTCAACAACAGCAATATAAATTCCATATTGCAATAGCTACTTGTCGAATCGCGATATCACAGTTACATGCTCTTATTAAGAAAGAGGAACAAGTATCTAAGAAACTGCAGCTAAGGTATACCTAGGTGGCTGTAAAGCCATAATTCCTTCAAAATTATTTCGCAAAAGGCCGTAACTTCGATTAGGTACCAGATTAGATCACACCTAGTGGTAATCGATGTATCCCGTAGACGGAAAGAAGAAAGCATCAGGAAGCATAGAGTAGAAAAAGGAAGCTTAACATTTATTTGTTTACCTTTATAATCGATGCAAAAGCTTTTTGCACCCTCTATCTAGGTATACTAAACAATGATAAGCTGCTGCTTTATGATATCTGCTTTCCACTATAAATAGGGTCCATAAGCTTCTGGATCAGAGAAATTACCAAACCTTTTATGAAAACTTATGGAACGAATCGATTTCCATGGATTTTAAATGTATATGTATATGTGTGAGGACCCTATTACTATAATCTATAAGTGTATTGGGTAAAACTGTAAATTAGACCCGTAAGGTAAGCCAACTAAGCGAAATGCTGAAAATAGCGTGCTGTAGCGAAGTGAAAAGCCGTAACGAGCATTGTATCTAACAATCATCGCATTGGCGCACTGACTTTGTAACATAATTACTGTGACTTTGGTCATGTATGTGTCAACAACATGTATTCGTAAACAATCATTTTGCATAAGGAAACGCATTGATTACATGTAATAAATCATCCATAAAGATTCTAGCTACGGATTATTTTTCTTGTACATAAAAATTTAAAATTATAACGCAGCAGTAAAAATTTGTAGCATAACACTCCACTAACTATCGAACTTTAACTTGCTCTATCATCGTCAATTTTTGTTAATAAAAAAAAAACACGCGTTTTTATTTTTACTTTTTCATAGTTAAATCTGCCGTATGGATCAAATGGAGTATGGATGTGTGCACAACCTCATTAAAAATACAAGTATGGCCATTTACTATCAGAATAGCAACAACTCTTGGTACCCTTTTTCGTTTTAGCTATACTACAACATGCCATTCGTTCTAAGTTTTCTGACCGTACGTGTCCAATAGATACCATTTCTTTATTTAGTGTAAATACATATCACGTCTCTGTATTCGCGTATTGTGCAACCCGTTCTCTGATCATTGGCCATATGCTGTCGGTCGTGCTGCCAGCAAATGATTCGAGAACGTTCAGCTTTCCGTAATAATCGATCACTGGCTTTGTCTTCATCGCGTACTCCTTAAGACGAGCTTTGACTATCTCCGGCTGGTCGTCGGCTCGTTGAACCAGGGACTCACCAGTCGTATCGTCTTTTCCCTGATAAATGGACATTTTATGAAGAATGAATTTTGATGAATAAAAAAAAAGGGGGGGGGGGGAAATATCGTCCCGAGTCCGCGGGGAAGAATAGAAGTTTGTTCTCACCGGTACTTTCGGATCGTTGAATCCGATATTGTAAATTCGACCACTGGGTGCGTGTATCCAGCGGTTTTTAATGCGCTCGAGTATAACCAAGTCAGGAACATCGACGTTGATCACGAGGGTCACCGGCTGTATTTTTTGCAATGCCTCAGCTTGTGACTTTGTGCGGGGGAAGCCTATTATTAATGACAAAAAATGATACATCGTGTTTTTTGCACGACAATCAACTGACTTTGAAAGTGGTTTTAGTTGATATTACGATTAATAAAAAACAACAATGACACAAAATTGAAAAAAAAAGTCATGCAAACGCTTTTCGATAACTAGAGAACAAAAATAAATTTTTTGCAAATTCTAGGAGAATTTCAAACAAGGGCAAACAAAAATAAACTGAGTGATGTTTTGAAAATTTGCTTAAATTTAGTGATATTTTTTATTATAAGTAATTTTGTGCTACTACTTTTCACAGTAGACCAGTTTTGATGTCAAGTACAGCATTAGGTTTCATCGTTAATTTTTCAACACCCAACCATCAACAGAATCATACAATTCTCACTCAAATATTGAGACTAGATTTTCGTATGAAAAGGTTATATAGTTGAAAGAATTTGGAAATAAAAATTTTGAAGCATGAAAAGGAAATTCGAACGCCAGCCCTGTCTACGATCATCAAGAGAGATCTCATAAAAAGTAGCAGTACTTAAAAAAAAAAAAAATTAAAAATCATTTTTACAGTATTCAAAGTTGCCTCGGTGGTATTACCACTAGAATGGTGAATCAAAAAACACATCTTTAAAAGTATTTTATGTCTATTTCTTAAAAATGAAATACATTTTTCAAATTCCCAGGTAAGATATCAGATATGTTCTCACCTGAGAATTAAAAAATATATTTCGTTTTTAAAATATAAATAATAAAGCTAAAACTTTTCTCACTCATTTAACAAATTTTAAAAAAAAGATTAATTGCTCTTACAAGTTTTTTCCAGTGTAAACTGACTTCGATTTTTAAATGTATGTCTCTTATTTTTTTTTTTGGGCACTCACAAAAATTCGTCAATTTCCTTTATTTTAATTCATTTATTTCGAAAAAATGGCAGAAAATTTTTAATGCTGAAAACGCCATCACGAATCAAGAAACTTAAATAATTCGTTTTCAATAAAAATGTTACTTGACTCGTTTTTCCGTCGGACAATAAAATGTGCCGCTGTAAAAGTGAGGTCTCACATCTGGACTGGCCCACTGTGAGCAGCGATAACACACAAATTTAACAACCTTAAATTTAACATAAATAAAAAAATAAAATAAATAAACTAAACTGGGGAAAGTCCGTAAAGACGATTAGGAAATTTAACATAAATAAATAAAAAAATAAAATAAATAAACTAAACTGGGGAAAGTCCGTAAAGACGATTAGGAAATTTAACATAAAAAAATTAAAAAATAAAATAAATAAACTAAACTGGGGAAAGTCCGTAAAGACGATTAGGATAACTTTTGTTTGCTTTTGATTGCCATTCACGGTATGTATATTATGTTTTAAATTGCAGCAATTTGTCAAATTTACCATCCAAAAGCCAACTGCGACCATTCAGAGTATGGATTTCTTCGTTTATAAGGGATATCATGGTTTTATCTGGTACCAAATGTCCAGAATCCAAGTACTTTTTTACTTCCTTTCCCAGAACTGGAACAAAAAAAATTATTTTAAATCCCAACGTTTGTCAAAAAAGTATTCAAATATCTTTAAAAAGGGGCAATGGGAGCAATTAACGCGCCGGTCGTGGTCGATTTCATCGTCCGTAAATCGCTAGACTATCTAATCAAAGTAACGATTGTGCAACGAACGAATTAACATTCCACTCCAACCGTCATCAATATTTAGCGGATTCATTTTGTAAGTGGTTCATGAAAAAGCACCAATAAATTTAACATAATTAATACTAACTGAACAATGGCAAAAACCTACCGGTCTGTTGGGCAACATGAAACCTAAGTTTGTCGCCACTTGATATATGAGTGATGTTGAACTGTTTGGCGATGCGAGCCGATATAGTGCCTTTGCCGGAACCAGGTGCTCCTAAAATGACAGCCCTAAAGGCCGCTTTAGCGCCATTGGTCACTCCAACCATGGTAACTGCCTTGTCCTCGGCCTTTTCGATACCCGCTTCCTCTTTGGCTTGGCTGATGTCCGATCTTTTTGCCAGATAATGCTACATTAGCTTTGTTTCTCAGTTTACTTGAAAACATGCCGTCTCAATTTATATATTTTATTTATTTCGCAACAAAAAAATACCAACAATGAAACTGAATTAATCCCCAAACACTGTGAGTTCAACAGATGTTAAGTGTGTACAATAAGCTGGATTAATTTTTCAGGTAAATTAGAAAAAAAAGCAAATTTTTTTACGCCACTTTGCGATAAATCGGCTCAAAAACGATACATCATGAAAAACAGCTGCAGCCTCGTATAAACTGATTACAATATTTAAAAAAAAAGGCCCTTGGACGTAATGTAGTTAATAACACAGTAAAATAAAATCAGTGAGATATTCAATCGAGCAATGAATATCCAAGCTCTCAATCCCGACAACAACTGGGTACTCCAAGTACGCAATAAAATTCTCACGCAATCCACCAAAACGCGCGCGCTACCATACATCGGAGAGCGCGCCACAAGTGGGTAATTATCGGACTTTTCCTTGCACGCGTCTGTATATAATCTAATCGTATATATATATAAACGAGACGGAAAAAGGGGGGGGGGCGAAAATATACGTAATAGACGGAACACCAAGAGCGTGACCTTGTCTCTCATTTCTCGCTCGTCTCGAACTGTGACTGATAGTGCACGCATCGCGCCGCAAATCTATATATAAGTCCCGGACTTTGGTACCCGTTCGAGGACGGCAAGAGTACAAAAATGAAAAATCTTGATTTCGCTTCGCTATAAGGTGATCGGACGCTGTTGTTGAAACTCGTATTTTTTATTTTTATTTTCGTTGACACTCGGATGTAGTACGTAAATAGACGCGTTTCTGCATTTAAGTAACAAACATAACTTTGTGTCAGTGATTATAAGTTACGCCATTAAAAATGAACATACTCTTGTGTCGTGTGTCGGTGTCCGATTATCACACTGTATTTGTAATCACAAGCTTCAATTTTATCTTAATTAAAACTCGAAATACGTCGATAAGAATCAAATTCGATTAAAATTCGAATACTGTGTGCAATTATGTGTATGCGATACAAAAAATTTAGAAAACACTTTGGATTACGAATTGTAAACTGCGAGAAACTCTGCGTTAAACTGCACATTAATATTTTTAATATTGATGCTTGGCTTGTTTCCAACCGAATGCGTCCCACTCTCGGATGTGTTATCGCACACAGAATTCTTTAAAATCCCTCTTTTTCGTAACGAAAACACGTGACCCCACATGATTTTATCGTCAAGCTATATTGATTTGCAAAAAATGACGTAACAAGCCAAATTGATTACACTGGTACATATGATGAAAAAATTAACATGGAAACTGGTAATTTCTCATCTTTGACTGTCACGGTAAACTGTTGTAGTCAACCACAGTAAGACATTCCATTTTATACGCACGTGTGTCCACTTGGAAAAAAAAAATTTAGAGCCACATGTGACTGGAGCTTTTATTAAAAGATCAAAGGTATTGACGACAGAAAAAAAAAAGTATTTATTTTAAGCACGAAACGAGTTCACATTTAAAAATATACCCTTGTCTTTCGGTCAAGTCACATCCATCGAAATGCGATTTAGTAAATAAATAAGAACAGCAGCAACATAGGAGCTCTGATCGCGCACGATCGCCGAGAGCGACTAAACCGAGCCACGTATTTTTTCGTTGGATACATGCTGAACGTAGATATACACCTATACATACCTACGAGAGTATACTAGAGGTGGTAGCTATAGCCGACCCATCCACAATTGACATTACCAGTATAATAGTGCATCGTATACAAATTAACTTCCCACCAAGTGTATATAATAGGTATGAACATAAATCAGAACACAGTGCAGAACATTTTTTCTACGGCTTTTCGTGAAATGATCCATACATATATATAATTTACAAAGAGTAATTAAGTTGTAATGAGTCGATCGTGAAATCCCCCCTTCCCGTGAGCAATCGAAGTGTGTTAAAATGATATTACAAATATGTTAAGTGGAGGGGATTGAATGTAAGTGGCTCGTAAATACTCGATGGCCGAAAAGCTTGTGTTCGTCGCGAGCTTGTTACTATCGAGCGAATGGCTGTAGAAAAGTAACGACAATGCGAATACTCTGCTATAACATTCAACTCCTCCCCACCGTGTAACTTCGCGTTTTTATACTCTCTGTATGATTAATGATGGAAAATAAAGTTATTTAGTATCTGTATCTGCGTCACTGTTACCTGCTCATATTATGTACAAAAAAAAATAAATATCGACAATCCACGCGAGAATAAGCACAGTTCAGGATCGGTAAAAAAAAGACAACTCACGCGTCAAGTACAACTTGTGCTCCCGATCTAAAATGTAAGAATGACTCGCTATCGTAGTTTACGTCTTGAAAATAATGAAAAAAACGTTTTCGACGATATTGGTGATCGCGATTGAATTAAAATCAATAAATGAACCATCGGACGCACTTCGAATTATTATTACGTCAAACTGAAAATTCAAAACAATGTATCGCCTCAATTAAACGATGCTCGTGGTCTTTATTTTGCCTTGGCAAGTCATGCTAGTCTTCGTTATGTATCTATATGGGACGCATTTTTTCAGATAACCGTATTGGCTTGGCTTTTTTTGCGTTAACATGAGTTAAATTAATTTTTATACAGAGTGTCTATATAATATTGAAATCGTGATGGGTGAGTGATCACTGTTTCAGCTTTAGAAATGATGTCGCTCCCGTAACAGTAAAATTTTAGGTGCTCTTTGCACTGACCTGCATTGTTTGTTGATTGATTTTCTTCGCTGATTAGTTATTACCTTGACAGTACTGTATTTTTTATTGCGATCCGAGTAAATACTTATAACTGGCTAAGACCGTCTAACGTTATACTTCAATACAGATAGAGACTGCCAATTGACACTGCCAATCTACGGCTATTTGTACCAGAATCTGGCAGAGCTTTTCAAAGTTTAGCAACGTCAAACAAATTTCAGCAACGTTTTTTAAAAGTTAAGGAAAATTTGGCAGAGTTACGAAAAAATGATGTAAAAATAACCGATTGCACAGATCAAAACTGCTTGAAATATAATAATGTTATATTGAATATTAAATTAGTCATACAAAAATATGAAATATTATAACGTTCTATGTTAATGTGATTTTATACAATATAAAAATTTAACATAATAATCGGTAACATGTGTTATGAACAGTAAAATTAACTTGACTAAAATAAGCATTAGAACTGTTATTTTTATGTACTGATCATAACAGTCGTTTGCGTCATGGGGGGGCCTATTTCTTCAAGGGCCATCACTTATACATTGTTTTTCGTAACAGTGTGCGGAAAATGGGTTGTTTCTACATTATTTTTAGTGTAAAAAATAAAATTTCCCACACTGTTTATGAAAAAAGTGTGCTAAAAAAATTTTCTGGTGTGCACCAGAATTTTTCCAGTGTGTGAAAAATTATTTTTATTTTTCAGGGTACGGAAAATTATTTTCCGGTATGTGACAAAGATTTTTTATTTCCAGTGTGCGGAAAACATTTTCTAGAGTGCGGAAAACATTTTTTACTGTGCCAGAATTGTTTTTCTGTGTGTGGAAAAGATTTTGCCAAAAAAAACTTTTTTTTGTAAAAGTTACTAAAATTTCGAAAATCTTAAATAAATCTTAAATCACGTTATTTAAAGTATTTAAAATGCGAAATATGACACGAACAATGTGAAATTCAATACAAAAAATTCGCACAGGCTGTTTTTTTAACTATATAACCTGTAACAAATTATATTCTGTTTAATTTTTAATTGTAATATCCAGTAGTATAATTTTAAATTATTTGTATAGTATGGTAGATTTTAAAATTGAATTTTAAAGTATTGATAAAATTGAGTTTATGAATGGTTTTAAAAAATGCAAATGGAATTTTTTTTTTAAGAACGATCATTCCATTCTTTTGCAGTCAGGGGGTGGATTCGTTATACACATATAAAAGCACAATAACTAACATTAAAAAAACAAACTATAAGCATTTTCATCAAGCAAATTATGTAATTCAACAGGCAAAACTAAGAAAAAATAAACACAACATTGTCGTCATTGTCGTGTAATATACTTACTCATAGTGCAAAACATAAGCATAATAATATGCGATTGTTGTCGATATCTCGTTTGGGGTGAAAAAGTAATTAGTGTGCCATGCAATCATCAATGTGACCAATCCAATGATAAATCCAATCGAGCAGTGATGTCGTATGCTTCGTGACATTATTTTCATTTTCATATACTTTTGCTGATTTTCTTTCTTTTTTTGTTGTGATTCCTATAATATACCTGCAGTTAAACGTTTACGAAATTTTTAAATAAGGCTGTATCGAATAACATGCTTCGCGCTCGGCCACTTGTCGCATGTATATACAAAGTTGCCCTCTCTCGCTGTGAACATCCGAGCGTTGTTTGTGATTGAAAAAAACCTATTTAACAATTTTTGTCGGAAAATTTCCAGCGAGAAAGTTCTTCCACTTGATCTTTCTATGCTAAATTTCACATTAAAGTGTTGAGTTTAATGAATTTAGAAGTCATTTTGAAAAAAAAAATGCGTTACTGACCGGCCGATGGAGGTACATTAGAAGACAGCAGGACAGCACATACTACACTTGCACAGCGCATTTTTTTTTAAATAACTAATATCTGTTTAACTTGATATTTTAATGTGAAACTATGCATAGACATTCGAAAGATCAAGTGGCACAAATTTCTCGCTGAGAGTTTTCCGACAAAAATTGTAAAATAGGTTTTTTTCAATCACCAACAACACTCGGATGTTCACAGCGAGAGAGCAACTTTGTGTGTATATTTATATATACACGCACATGCGAAAAGTGGCTGAGCGCGGAGTTATTCGATCCAGCCTTTCATATATTGATCAAGTATGAAACAAAAGAAAAAAATTATGACTAATTATTATTTTTTATAAAAATTTTAACGAGATTAATATAATATTGTAAAATACAATATGATTGTGATATAAAATTTAAAACTACTATGTTAATATACGGCTCAAAAAATTTTAAGCTCTACAGTTTTTTTAGTTTAAGTTTTTAATTTGAGTTTGATCCCACATAGCATTTGGAAAGACCACAATTTTCAATATTTCAGCAATATTGCACGAAAACTATTTGGTAGAATCGTTAATATATACCTTTGATGAAATAATTTCGAAATATTAGATAAAGATCATAAACCCTTAGACAATTTTTAAATAAATTTTTTAAAATTAATATTCTGGATGTAAGATGAAAAAACAAATAGAAATAAATATATTAGCTTTTAAAATTAATTTTTCTGCAGCCTGTGCAACCTGTTGGTTGCCTTCTTAAATGTTCTATACCGCGTGGAAATTTTTACGTTTGGCCAAACGTTGGCTAAACATGGGCAATGAGAAAATCCTAAACTTGGGTTTTGCTGAAATTTTTGACTTAAGTTTAGGCAACGTTCATCCATATGCTAATCCATTCGGCTATGACGAGATGTTACAAAGTATAACACGAATCGTCTACATATCGTACCAATACTACAATTTTTATACTATAATTTTTTTTCAGTCATGTTATAGTGTCTATATAATATTGAA